AACGGGAGATTTAGTTATTCACAATCCACCGACAGCAGTTGTACTTTGTAATGTGGCTGGAGTTATTATCGGAATACAAATTTCACCAACTGCCACCACAGAAGGGCTGCCATTCAATTAATCTGATTGGACATTGGTAAAAAACGCTGATGACATCTGGTGTTGTTCCGTTCTCAATTTTAGTTTCTTTAACTCGAGGCGTTCAGGGAGCGTTTGCAAAAACGCAAAGAATTCAGCAAGAGAAAAAAGCAACAAGAGAAAAATGCTTCACTATCATTGAAAATAATGACATAAAACATGCTTGAAGCTGCTTAAACATGCTGGGTCAGATCAGGGTCAACAGTGTGAAGCTAACAGTCTGTTATTTGTTGTTGTTTTGATAGGAAAAAGCATGACGTTTAAACTAGGCATTAAAGACATTTTAAAACTCTTTTCTGTCTTATTCATCGAGACATTACTCAGCAGATAGATTGCATATAAATTATACATACAAATATACAGTTGTTAGTTGGAGCCCTAGCCTTTTTATATGGTTTATATGGTTCACCTGGAAGTCAATAAACAACAGGCTTACTGTAGACAGTTATAGTGGTGGATGTTTCAAGTCAACATTGATCACTACCATAGCTATAACCTGAATTCATATCAATGTTGAGGTATCAAGATCAATTAAAATGACAACATATTTAGTTCCTGAAATGTCTTGTTTTCTTCTAAGGTAAAACATATCTTGAGTAGAAAGCCAAATGTACACATTAAATGTCACAAAGTAATATAGTGTTTGTGCACAAAACAGAATTAAAGTGTTTTGCACCAATAACCAATACCCAACCAAAGACAGCAGCATGTTTGTTGTTATTTATTTTCCCTATCACTTATTGTACTATTAAATATATTGTAATGGGAGGTTGAACGGTCCATTTATTTTCTCAAATCAGTCCAATATTGCAGTTGTCATTAACAAGAATCGTGTCTAGAGATGCTATCAGAAACCATTTTATCTACGGTGCAGATTGGAAACAGATGCATGCCATCTGATGGGAAAACACTGTGCAGAGATTCACACAGCAATACAAGAGTGAGAATAAGAGATAAGAATAGGCTATCTAAATCAGCAGTGAACCCTGTCTCCATGTCCCGTTCCAACTGGACTCTGAACACAAAGTGCACTGTAAACACAGGCAGGGACACAGAGCACTGCTTTATCATGAGACAGAGGCAAACACACAAAGCATGCATGAAGGCTGCACGGCCAACCCATGCTGAGTCAAGGCGAGCTGTCAGAAGGCAGACCAATGGAGGAAATAAACCACATCCAGTGTTCTGCACGTAGACTGCAATGCAGACACACTAACCAG